CTCACAGCAACCTCAAACTCTTGGGCTTAAGCGATTCTCTTGCCTCAGCCTCCCAAGTAGCTGGGACTACAGGTGCCTGACACAGTGCCCAGCTATTTGTTGTTGTTGTTGTTTAGTAGGCCCGCTAGCCTGGGTGTATGTGGCTGGCACCGGTAACGGCTGTGCTACAGGAGCCGAGCCTAAATTAGTATTTCTTTCAGGAACATGAATTACTGCTAAATCAGTTTGTTAATATGTTTTTTCATTAACTCAAAAATAAATGTATGTCTGATTGTTACCTGTTAATGTACTTGTGGGTACATCTTGAGTGGGATCTTTGTTGTCATTTCTTGCAAAAGTGACTATTCTCTTACATGGCGGCTAATGTTGTTGGTTTCTTTCAGCTAACATGTAGAGTGGTTTGAATGGGAGAATCTAGGACGAAGCAAGGCCAGTTCTTCCATGACTTCATTCCTTTGACCTTCTGTTCAACGAATGCTTTCAGAATTCTGTGTGTATTTCCTAGAGTAGGAAAAGATGAAAAAATCTCTGGTGAGTTGTTTGTTTCTTTATTCTTCACTTTGTTTTATGTTGTATTTTATAAGCTTCATGGGATCCCTAAGTTAAAATGGAAGAGTTCAAAATTTCTAAAGCTTACCCTCAGGGAAATCTATATAAGTTAAAAGAGATACGGTAACATAAGCAGGTTGTAAGATCTTAGCGTGATTGAAGTTAACTGCAGATTTGTCTTTGGTATTTTTGATGCCATGACAAAAAGTCAGACATATTTATTACAGAGATGATGATGATGTAATGTTTTTTGTTTTGTTTTGTTTTGCAGTTTTTTTTTTTTTGGCCAGGGCTGGGTTTGAACCCACCTCTGGAATATGGGGCCAGTGCCCTACCCCTTTGAGGCACAGGCACCGCCTGATCATGTAAAGTTTTTTTATGACCAATCTGGAAGTAAACACTTTCAGCATTTAGTAATGGAGAGAGTTACCTAGTGCTAACACAAAATTCACATAAGAATGTTTTTCTGGAGTTGGTAGAATAGTGTAGTCTCGACAGCTTTAGGAAGGTTGTATTTGATTCATGGATACAACCTGGAATATTTAAGCAGGTGGCTCACACCTGTAATCCTAGCACTCTGGGAGGCTGAGGCGGGTAGATTACCTGAGCTCACAGGTTTGAGACCAGCCTGAGCAAGAGGGAGACCCTGTCTCTAAAAAAATAGCCCAGTGTTGTGGCAGGCACCAGTAGTCCCAGCTACTTGGGAGGCCAAGGCAAGAGGATCACTTATACCAAGGAGTTTGAGGTTGCTGTGAGCTATGGCGACACAGCACTACTGAAGGTGACAAAGTGAGACTCTGTCTCAAAAACAAGTAAACAGAGAAAAAAAGCCCCTGGAATATCCCAGAATTGAGTTGACCACAGGTCCTTAAGGTTATATATAGACTTGGTTATACAACAGTGTGTTGAAGGTCTGTTTTCTGACAAATATTACCAGTGCTTATTTGCATTTTAACCCAGTTAGAGTAGCCTTAGTTCAATTCCTCAAATGCCTGCCAATAACATAAACTTGTATTTAAACTCAATGGCTATACTTTAATCTCTGCCTTACTTGAGTCTTCTGCTATAATTATTTTCCATGACCTTGTCTGTAATTTCACTCTTAGTTTCTGCCATGACCTCACTGATACTTTCTTCTCCGATTCCCTGAATTCTCCTTTCTTCTGTTCTTCGACCTATCCAGGTGCTCCATCCTGGACCCCATTCTTCTGACTCTGAAATTCTCATGATGCGTTTTCCCTTCTGTGGTTTATCCTTCTCGTTCTGTCTTGTGCCTATTACCCAATTTTTGACCATAAGTTTAATTCTCTGTTGAATGCTTCTTTGGAGCTATCCAAAAGCAATCTCCAGCTCAATAAATCCAAAATGGAAAGCACACCCTCCTCTCTTTGCTTATGCGTAGTATCACTGCCATCCAACAAATGTGTCCCAAGCATCACAGTGGAACTTTTGTCTGGACTCCTTCATCTCTCTCAGGTCTACTGGCATCTGGTGTTCACTCCTGCTACTTTTGATTGTTTATTCTTTTTATTTGTTGTAACATCAGCTTAGGAGTGCCCATGTAAGGGGAGGAGCTGTTAGTGCTCACAGACACACAGGATAATTTTGTTACATTGGAAATGTCACTCCTGGCAAAACCTGAAGGACGTGTGTACTCATTGATGAGGTTTAATGCCTTGGGAACTGTGGATCTGTTCAACACGTGTGGTGACATCCTTTGGTGTCCATGGAGAGAAAGGATTCAGGAGTTAGTGGGACAGGTTTGAACAAGCTCTAATAAGAAAAATGGAAAGGATAAAAATAATATTTTTATAGTTAGTAAAACTATATTTTTATAGTTTTTAAAGTTTTATAAAACTTATATAAATTTACATAAGCAATTTTTTTTTCTGTGGGTTTTATTAATTTACTATTTTATATTTATAGTTAAAAAAAGACTTTTCAGGCTGGGCTCCTGTGGCTCAAGTGGCT